GAAAATCAATGCTATGAGAATGTGTATGTGTGTGTGGAACATGGAGACTCGATTCTAAAGGACAAAATGGCAATTTTTTTTTTGTTTTGTTCGAAATGTAATGAAAAGCTTGGAGACCGTCTGGACGAAAATGGTTTCACTAATATATCTGTTGCTTTCAGAAAATTAAATTCTATATAAAGAAAGAGATTAAAAAGCAATTTTCTGTGATGCTATTTAAAAATATTGACATAAAATACGGTAAATCGGTAGTTGAAAAGTCATCTAAGCTTTTATTTTGAAAAAATATTGAAAGAATGAGTTTTACCTGATATATGAGCGGTTCCCTGGAAGCAATGATTGGCTCCATTTTTAGAAAAATCTTAAATTTAAATTACAAAGCACTTGGTTCAGTCATATTTTTTACATTTATAGTAAATTTCCAAAATAATAGAAATTAACATCACAATACGAATAATTATTTTTTCACTTCTGAATAATAAACGTTTTATTTCAAAAGCAATTTTGGAAACTCGTACTCCAATTTAAATCCCCATTTCTCCAATTTCTCGATCTCCAATTTAACTTCTCATTTCTCCAATTTCTCGATCGCTAATTTAATTAACGAATCCCAACGACCAAAATATTGAACAAAATTTTGTATAATAAGTATATAAGTATATAATATCAATAAATAGTGTAAGTATGTAAGTAGTATAGAACTGTAATTAGTATAATTTACACCATTTAATAGAATAATTTAGTAAATCGGTAGTTGAAAAGTCATGTAAAGCTTTCATGCATTAAAATATGGAAACAATGAGTTTTATCTCATATATGAGCTGTTCGCTGTAAACAATGATTAGCTCCACTTTCAGAAAAATCTTAAATTTAAGTTACAAAGCACTTGGTTCAGTCAAATTTCTTTTACATTTATAGTAAATTTCTGAAAATGATAGAGATTAACACCATAATAAGACTAAATTTTTTTTCTCTCTGAATAATAAGCAGTTTATTTCATAAGCCATATTGGAAACTCGTTCTCCAATTTAACTTTCTCCAATTGCTCTATCTCCAATTTAATTAACGTAACCTTACGTTCAATATATTGAACAACATTTAGTATAATTTTATCACTCATTGTTTGTATCACTTCTTTTCCTTGTTGGCGTTTCTATATAAAAAAATATGATTAAATTAACTCTCCTTGGTTGGGGTTTTAAAATATTATGAAAAATTATAAGGAACGTATGAATTTGTTTTGTGGAGGTTGTTTGGTATCTTTGTTAGAGTCCCCACTTAAACTCTAAAAAGAAATATAACTCTAGGAAAGCGTTCCACATGAAAATGTTTCCGAGAACGGGTTATAGTTTTCTTCATAAATAACACTAAGTTTAAATAAATAACTATCTTTATTAACATTTAGGAAACTTGTAAATTTAACTAAAACATTTTAACATATATAAAACTTAACCACTTTAACATTGAAGCAGCATAGAAATAAACTGCGAAAAGGTAACCGGCGAGAGCATGCCGGATTGCTAGCTAGAACCGACGGGGAGAGAGAGCAAGCTGTGAGGATGCGGCCAAGTTATATCCAAAACATACTGCGCGCGTTTTACTGATTTCGCCCTTCACGCATATCTCCATTCAGGTATGAGGTTTATTACGTCAATTACCGGCTGCAAGCTACGTAGTCCAACGTCAGAGATTCATAGTTCGAACTTTGCATTTCAAACCACAACGCCACAGTTTCAAATAAAGCTTTGGACTGCTTTACAATATTAGAATATATTATATTATAAATCTGGTGGAATTGGTTTCATTACCAAAGTAAGAAGAAATACATTTCAAAAATATCCTGCAATATGTAAAAAAATGCAAAAAATTATAATTTTTTTAATGAAATATATTAAGAACTGTAATTAAGTTTAATTATTTGAATATTTTCTTAAAAAGTATTTTATCGCATCATTGAGTTTACTTTTTTTTCCAGCTATATGCATCTAAAGTAAAAATGGCTCTCAATGCAATTATTTAATGCTCTCGTCTTAGTAGGTTAAACTTACTATTTAGCGCAATATGACGATAAATTTTATTTTCAGCAAGAGAACGGAAGAAAAACTTACTTATAGAGATTTGAGTGCTTCAGCTAGTTGAAAAGTGGACGAAATTTCGATTGCAAGACTCCATCGTTACAAACAGGACAATAAGTCAATAAAAACGTATCCTAACAAAAAGGAAGACCTTTTACATACTGAAATCCATTTCTCCAGTTCTACTATAAGAACTTGAGTACAAATTGAAATGAAAAAACTTTACCTACATCAGATAAAGAGTAGATCTTTTTTAATATTGGCGTATTAATCAGTAAAAATATATTAAAACAGAACTGATAAACTTCTTTTTTAACAAAAAATGCAGTTCTAAAAGTATGTGATAATTATTTCTTCCTGTTATGAAAAATTTAAAAATTTAAACACGAATTACAATATTTATTAGCTAAATCGATTAAGTCATACAAAACGTATTAAGCATTTACTAAAGTCATACAAAAAATACAACCTTAATGACGATTGCCTTTTTACCTTTTCTTGCTTATTAATTTAGATGAAAGCTACATCTATATTAATAAATTATTCAACAACTATTTTAGTTTATGTTATAAATGGAATTTTTCAAACCGGTATAAGTTGCCTCATTCGAATCGATTAAGTCATACAAAAAGCCTCTAAATCGATTAAGTCACACAAAGAGTATTAAGCATTTGCTAAATTCATGCAAAAAATACAACCTTATTGACGATTGCCTTTTTACCTTTCCTTGCTTATTAATTTAGATGAAAGCTACATCTATATTAATGAATTATTCAACAACTATTTTAGTTTATGTTATAAAGGGAATTTTTCAAAGCGGTATAAGTTGCCTCATTCGAATCGATTAAGTCATACAAAAAGCCTCTAAATCGATTAAGTCATACAAAAAGTATTAAGCATTTGCTAAATTCATGCAAAAAATACAACCTTATTGACGATTGCCTTTTTACCTTTCCTTGCTTATTAATTTAGATGAAAGCTACATCTATATTAATGAATTATTCAACAGTTATTTTAGTTTATGTTATAAAGGGAATTTTTAAAAACGCTATAAGTTGTCTCATTCGAATCGATTAAGTCATACAAAAAGCCTCTAAATCGATTAAGTCATACAAAAAGTATTAAGCATTTGCTAAATTCATGCAAAAAATACAACCTTATTGACGATTGCCTTTTTACCTTTTCTTGCTTATTAATTTAGATGAAAGCTACATCTATATTAATGAATTATTCAACAACTATTTTAGTTTATGTTATAAAGGGTATTTTTAAAAACGGTATAAGCTGCCTCATTCGAATCGATTAAGTCATACAAAAAGCCTCTAAATCGATTAAGTCATACAAAAAGTATTAAGCATTTGCTAAATTCATGCAAAAAATGCAACCTTATTGACGATTGTCTTCTTACCTTTTCTTGGTCATTAATTTAGATGAAAGCTGCATCAATATTAATGAATTATTCAATAACTATTTTAGTTTATGTTATAAAGGCAATTTTTAAAAACGATATAAGTTGCCTCATTGCATTTCTCCACCTCTAGTTCTACAGAGTTAGGAGGCCGCTTTACATCATCTTGGATCATAGGTTAAATTTCTAATTCGCTTTTTCTTGATGTCCACCCCTTGTTTTAAATGTTAAACTTTTGATAATAAAGTGCCATTCAATCTAACATTTTACATTTCAGAGAAGATTAAAATAAATGGATCGCTTTGTTGTATCAGGAGAAATACTGCTTGATAATTTCTAAAGTTTCCACAGATTTTTTTTCTCAAAAATGTAAAGCAATAAAATTATACGATTTGGCGTTGCGAATAAAACTACCCATTTGCTTATTATTAAATTTTTAAAAATTTTATTTCTTCAAAGTTTAAATAAATTAAAACTTATTTGGATGAGGAGGCATTCAAATATTACTTAAGCATGTTTTTGGCGATTTTAAACTCCCCCCCCCCTAACCTTGTCATCAAAATAAGCAAATCACAAATCCTTCCCATGCTTAGGTAAGAAAGTCACGAATCCTACCTTGTTTTTGCTATAACTTTTACTTTTACTGAAGTAGTTCAATTTTAGGGTAATATTCAAAACATTGATCTACTTTTGCAAAATATAAAATTGGTTCAAATTCTTGATCTCTAAAATTCCTGAGAGAACTTTTTATCTAACTTTTTCTTTCTCCTATCTTAACTGTTATTTAAACTTGGAAGTTTTCCAAGAAGTAATTTTCATCCAATTTTTTTTTTTACAATTTTAAGAAAAGTTCTGAAAACAATGTGAAAAAGTTTTATGTAATAGCATTGCTGAAACCTCATCTCTTCCCTTGTCAGCACAAGTAAGCAAATGAAAGACTCCCGCACCCATTAGATGGTTACGTAGTATTTGAACGGTCTCATGCTTAAAAAATTTTTTGAATATAAATTACGCAAGAGACAAAGATATTTATCAAAAATTTAAAAACAAATATTGAAAATAATACTTACAAAAAGCATTAAGAACTTTCACATTCAAAAAGAAAATGAAATTAGAAGAATTCTTTGTACAATGTTATTCCCGAAATTCCGATGTAACATTTTTTATCACAATTTCGCAACTCCTTCAGAATGTAAAAAAAAACAAAAAAATAACCGAAGAGAGGAGAAAAGATGTTCCTAAGAAGTACAAAAATTTATTATCAGCGAAATTGAATGTAATTGCATTATATTGAGTTTCGACAACAGATTTGCAATCCTAAGTTTGGTTAATAACAACTTTTGAAATGCCTTTCTTTCGTTTTGTTTCTATCGAATCTCAAATTCATAGGATGTTATGCGTGAAACAAATATATAGTTGAACGTAACAGCAAAATGCTGCATACAGAGTACAGATTTGGAATCCTAAATTTGGTAAATAAGAATTTTTTAAATGCTTCTCTTCTGTTTTCAGTTGAATCCCAAATTCATAGGATAATTATCCTTGATGCAAAATACATGGTTTAATGTGACTGCAATATGTTGAGTTTTGAGTACAGATTTGCAACCCTAATTTTAGGTAATAAGAACTTTTTAAATATTTTTTTGTTTCGTTTCATTCGAATTTAAAATTTATGAGATATTATGTTTGAAGAAAAATGCATTGATGAATGTAATTGCAATCTATATTATATAAAACGCTAATACGTACGTATGTATGTATCAATAAAACCGATGATATTTCTTTTCTCGCGCTGGCAACAGTTTTCATTTTTAATTGATTGGATTCGGCGCGCAAGAGCACGTAGTGAGCAACCAGATAACAATAACCAGAGTGAGCATTATCAGGTTGTTCAATTCAGATTCATGCTCTAAAAACATGACAATATTTAATTTAAACTCAATTAGGAATTAATTAATTAATTGAAGTGAGAATGCTTTAAAAGGACGCTGTTGAATTGATATTTTTCTGCTGGAAGCTACCTAAACGTCTAAAAAACGTTTAAGTGTTTGTATGGAATGCAATGAATTTTTTTATATTTCGAGTTTATTTATGCATTGAATTTTCACGCTTTAAAATGCAGAATATTAGTGAAGCAATATTTGATAATTTATTTTGCTGATATGTTTCTTATTTAGCTAATGTTTTGATTTTTTCACCATGTACAATCTAAATAGCTAATATACTTTTTTAAAAGCCAATAAGAACATTGGTAGAATTCTTCTACATAAGTACAATACTATGTCTTTGATGATAAAATACTATGTCTTTGATGATAATATATTATGTCTTTGTGCTAGAACATTGTGTTCATTGGCGAGCGAGCGCAGCGAGCCATGGTTCACGGCGTGAACCACATAGGATTGCGTAGCAATTCTGGGGGGTTGGCGAGCGTTAGCGAGCAGGGGGCGGAGCCTCCTGGTATATTTAAATTTGACTATAGATATACAAGCCAAAATGAGCAAATAAGAGCTTTGGTCGAATGTAAAACTCCTAATAAATTTTGTTGGAAGAAAAATAAATTTTCTTAAAAAAATGTAATGTAGATCTAAGAGGTATTAAGAACTTCAATATTCAGAAATAAAAATCAAAATCCTTGATACCATGCTATTCAACTAAACCCGATTTCCTTAACATGATTTTACAATTGCTTTAGAATAAGAAAATAGCTATACAGGGAAGAAAAGATGTTTGTTAGAATTATAAAGATTCCAATATCAGTAAATTCGAATTCAATTACAAAATTTCAGATTTCGACATCAGTTTTGCAATCCTAAGCTTTACAAATAAAAATTTTTTGAACCTATTCCCTTCGTTTTAGTCGAATCTGAAGTTCAGGAGGAAACATATATCCTTAAAAAATATGATTGGTATAAGAAGTATCAAGAACTTCAATGTTCGAAAGTAAGAATGAGAATTCTTGATATAATGTTCTTCCACAAATATCAATTTTTGCGACTGTTTCCGAATAAGAGTAAGCATAAAAGGGGGTTGAAAAGATGTTCTTGGAAAATATAAAGACTTTAGTATCAGAAAAATTGAATTTAATGCAATATGTTGAATTTCGACTACATATTTGCTTGTCTAAGTTTGAAAATTAAGAACTTGATACAATATTTTTTTCTCAAAACCCGATTTTCGCATTTGCTTCAGAATAAGAGTAAACATAAAAGAGGGAAGAAAAAATTTTCTTAGGAAATCTTAAGACTTTAGTATCAGAAAAATTTTATTTAATGCAATATGTTGAATTTCGACTGCAGATTTGTTTGTCTAAGTTTGAAAATTAAGAACTTGATACAATGTTCTTCCTCAAAACCCGATTTTTTCATTTGCTTCAGAATAAGAGTAGACATAAAAGTGGGAAGAAAAAATGTTCTTAGGAAATATAAAGACTCTAGTATCAGAAAAATTGAATTTAATGCAATATGTTGACTTTCGACTACATATTTGTTTGCCTAAGTTTGAAAAATTAAGAACTTTCCAAATATTTTTCCTTTGTTGCAAGTTATTACGAATCTCAAATTTAATATAGAAATGATATTAGGGTTAGAACATATATTCTTAAAGATTGTTAAAGATATAAGACGTACCAAGAAACTTTAATATTCAGAAGTAAGAATGAGAATTCTTGATGCAATGTTCTTCCACAAATCTCAATTTTTGCAACTGTTTCAGAATAAGAGTAAGCATAAAAGAGGGTAGAAAAGATGTTCTTAGGAAATATAAAGACTCTAGTATCAGAAAAATTTAATTTAATGCAATATGTTGAATTTCGACTACATATTTGTTTGCCTAAGTTTAGAAATTAAGAACTTTCCAAATATTTTTCCTTTGTTGCCAGTTATTACGAATCTCAAATTCACTATAGAAATGCTATTAGGGTTAGAACATATATTCTTAAAGAATGTTATAGATATAAGACGTACCAAGAAACTTCTATATGCGGAAGTAAGAATGAGAATTCTTGACGCAATTTTCTTGAACAAAACCCGATTTATTTCTTGCAGGAGAGCAAGAGTAAACACAAAGAGGAGAGAGAAAAAGATGTTCTAAGGAAGAAAATTTAATAATTCGAAAGCAAGAGGAATGTGGCAGAAAGAGATATCCATCCAGTCCAGAAGGTTGGCAGAATGAGATGGAAAGTTCGGGCAGGAATCTTCGTTTGACAAACGATGTTGGCCCATTCTCGGATTCCCGAGGGTCTGTTGGAACCGTGAAATGTATCTCCAGCAACACGATGATGCATCGCTTATAAAAGACGAGACCATTACTCAATATTCGCCAGCACAAATCAATTTAAACACTTCCCGTAGAGTGCTGTAAACAATGCAGGGGGATATGCACAAAATGCAAAATAAACTCATTTTAAAGTAATGGTCTTCTCCCCGAAGAAAAATAATTTGTATCTTTTCCCTTATAAAATATATTTTTTATTGCAACTGATAACTATACATGTTTGGACACTTAATTAGAAACTTATATGTCATTTTTTCCATTATCAGTTTGAAATAAATGAGGTAACGAGGATATTTTCCAATAACGAGACAGAAAAAATGAGTAAGGAGATATTAGAATGAGATTTTTTTTCCGATCAAGTGAAGAACTTTTTTTGTAAAAAATGCTTTTTTTTTGGAAAATAACCAGGCATGTTTTAGTACTGCGATCAGGGAATTATGTGAATAACTCATTCTCAGAAAATGCAGAATATTTTAATTCCCATTCTCGGAATAGTACCGTGCATTTTCAAAAAATGGACATAAGGTAAAACCATGATACCAATATTTCGAATCTCAATATCGTGCAAGTTTGAAGCCTTATAAGTTAAGTGTGGCCGTTAAGCCGTTAAGTGTGGTCAAAACTACCAGAATATGATAAACTTTACCGTGTTTCTGGCATGATTTTGGTGAAATCAATCGTAAATTTTTTTTTTATAATATGTATTATGATTCCGTAATTTTATTGTGATATCTTAGAGCATTATTTTTTCGGATGAGTTTACTTTTCAGTTTTATATTTGTTAGAAAATGTGAGTTAATAAGAAATATAATTTTGAAAATCAGAATTTCTTGCAAACCGATACCAAACCGATTTCCGATAAACTGAAAAAACTACCAAATGAATATTCATGAATATTCAAGCACCATATACCAGATGCGTCTTTAGCAATCAGTATGGTAAATTTACCAGAACTGTTTTCTCCATACAAGGTGTAAAAATGAATCATGTTTCGGGTATTATTTTATTTTTTCTGCCTTAGCCCAGATAGTTCTTTATGGTAAAAAGGTAGATAAAGATTTAAGTTATAGCTTTGTCTCAAATTTGAGACATTTAAACTGTGGTTTATTTTATTTTTTCATTTTCTTCAGCAAAAAAGCTACAGACTAGTTCAATATTCGTTTACTATAGGAAAAAAGATTGCATTCTTAGTATTTAAGTGTTGTTGCATTTCGTAACCAGTCTTGTAGTTGAGACTGAGCAACAATGTATGTAATGACAAACCCAGAATAAACATTTGAGAAGTTTGGGGCCCCAACCGGGCTGTAGAGCCAGCCAATGAAGATGAATTTATTATAATAAATAGCTTGAATTATGTAATAAATAGTTTAAATTATAATACAATAATCCTTGTTTTTTAAAAATGAAATAAGAAAAGCAATTATATATTAAAAAAAAGGGAAATATTTTTTTCGTAAATTAACATGACAAACTATCTACATTATGTGTTAATTTAATCAAGGAATTTTAAAATTATTTTTCTATAAGTATTCACAAACTTGAGTTAGAATAAATTTTAATTTTTAGTTCCTTAATTTTAATTTTATACGTTTTTAACAGTTAAAAGTTATTAAATAACTTTTTAAGATTGTAAGATCATACTAGTTTCTTATATTTGAAAGATAATTAATTAAATTATTCCTTTAAAAATTCATTTGTATGCAATTAAGAATAATGTTAAAATGCTAGTTGTTTCTAAAAATCAGTGAATATTAGTTTACATATAGATTCTTTTTACAAAATGAAAGAGTTATTTTCATACATTAATTCAAGACTGTTTGTTCAATACGTTTATAAATCAACGTAACAATTTATATTCCCTCATATCCTTTAAATGACAAAATCCACTCAATATCGTGAGATATATTAAAAGGATAACTGTTATATCATAAGATTATAAGAAATAGCAGTAATTTAAGTAAGTACACATAAATGCAATATCGTTATTTTTTGACACATTAAACTGCATTTAACTGTGATTTATGAAGAACAGGTAGATGACAACTCAATTTTCGCGAGATCGTCCAATTATCGTTGATAAAAACGCAATGTTTCACTAACATAAACATATTGGTCAAAACACACCCTAATCTTTCTTAATTCACACTTTAGATAGGTAAAAAATGCCAAGGAAATGGCGTATCTTGAGACATCTCTTTAAATATTTAACGCCAACGCCCCATTTTACGCCAAAATGAGTTATTGCGAAACTTTTGGACAGAAATTAATATCAAATTATGCTCCGAGAATCCGGCCATTGTACAGAGGTGAGTATCGTTTTCAAATAATAGGGTTTAAGCAAATATGACAATTATTCGTTGATTGAGATAAGATAAATTGTTCTTGTCTGTAACCGTCATCCCCAAGAGATTGACCAGGCTTGATATTTAGTTTTTGACTTGGCAAAAATTAAAGAGTTTTCTGTTCGACTTTTCGTGCATAAGTTTTCATCCTCAATTCTTTCAATGATTTTACTGTTTTGTATTATATAGCATACGATGCCCTTTTTACGTAAGTTTATATTTCTGAAAGAAAATCCTAAAAATTCCAGATACTTTTCCTTAAATATAAAATCATCATCCAACTTGAAGTCTTAAATGTAAAATAATCAGCCCTCGTATTTTTTCATAAAGAATATTGTTAAAATGGACAACAAAAAACTAATACATAAAAAGTCAGTAAAAAGAATCCTTTTTTTTCGGTGTTCTTTTCTTGATTATACAAAAAAAGAAAAAAAAATTCGATCTTGAAAATTTTAGATTTTTTTTTTTTTCAATTGCAAAACCATCATCAGGTTCAAAGCTTATTTTAAACATAATTAGTGATTGTAAAGAAAATTATTCATTCATGGAGTGAAAAATTATGGTAAAATCACTGTACTTGTTATGACTTGTTTTTTAATAGAAATGACATTTCTATTAAAAAAACAACATGATTTCGGAAATATAACCAAAATGCACAGTATTTAAATCATTCATGTGGAAATTTTTACTTTCGTATATATCAGTTTACAGGATAATCGGGTTTTCAAAATTATAGTTCTTTTTACTACAATTTTAGTAAAAATACAAAACTGGAAAGTAATTTTTACCGATTGGTACTGCTAGTAATTTTACTAAGGCATCATGATATAACCGAATTTTACCACATATGCTACCAATCAGCATATTAATCTTTAACCACATTTTATTGTCAATTTTACTAAAAATCATTGACAAAACTTTGGTAAAAATTACCGTATTTTTTGGTATTCACATTGAGCCAGAAACACCGTAAATTTTACCACATTCTGGTAATTTTGACCATACTTTTTTTCTTAGTGTAAAGATAACGGCATGGAAATGAAAACAAATTATGCCTCATAAACACACGTAGTGCAATATTAATTTTAGAAAGAGGAACCATCATCATGAAACACCGAATGAGGGAAACACCGAGATGCGGAACAAAAATACAAGCAAGCTACAGCTTTTATATCTTTGCCAGTCTTTTTATCTGTTCTTGTAACTTGAATTTCTTCTTTACACGAATCAAATAAATAAAAAAATTTTTTTTGTCTATATTAATCTGTTTATTTGTTTTTGTTTGTAATTTCCATTTACAGTTTGTCTAAAGTACGAACTCCCCTAGCCATTCGTCTTGACCCTTGGTGGTGACTATGGTAACGTGGTATAACTACTATTCCAAGTAGGGATGTGGGATCACTGTTTAGGACAGGGTTTGGCTCTGGTTGGGGCAAAAAGTAGGGCGCAAAGGTTTTTTCTTCGGTCTATTGTGTTAGCCCAGAGTGAAGAGAAGCTACACTCCTTGAAATGTGCTATTCTTGTTTCCATAGCAGCAGACGAACTAAGACTTTATGATGGGGGGAGTTCTTATTGTAGACAAACTATACTTTAATCCCCTCCTTCATTCTGAGTTTGCACTTTGAAGACGGTTCTACCCAAGTCAAAATTCTTGATGGTCCCAACAAATCATATTCATGGTTTATGTTGGTTTCAGTGCGATTCATGATGGTTTAAAATCATTTGATGGTCACCATCATCCAACATTTTCCATTATGTGTTCATGGTTTTTGATATGCCAGCAAACTTTCCTCATTTCATGATGGAAAATCCTATGATGGTTAACCATCAAGCAAAGTTTGAATCTTAAGGTCCAACATTTCATGATGATCCATAATGGTTCCAACTGTGCGTTTCCATGATGGTTTGATGGGAAAAGCCTAATTGTTTTGATGGAATATACCATCAAAACAATTTGGCTTTGCGTATGTTGGCCCATCATGGAACAGTTCGAATTCTTACATTGGGATGATGGTTGTTCATGATCGTTCCAACATTTGATTTCTATAAAACTATGATGGAAATTTTTGATGGTTCAACGTGAACAAACCATCAAAACAACATGTTATTCTTATGTTGGACCATCATAAATCAGTCTGAATTCCTGCATTGGGGTGAAGGTTACTTATGTTGGTTACCATCAAAAAATATAATGCTTCATGATGGAATTATTGATGGTTACCATCAACATTATGTTGGACCATCCATGGAAGCCCAGATAAAACTTTGACTTGGGCATACTATAGAGCAAAAACTGTATTTCTTCGATTTATACACTGTGAGAAATTCCGGATCAGACTACGGTAAAGAGTACTGGCACCCTAAGTACCGGTACTTTTTCCGTAAATTTTTTCAAAACAAGAAATATGATAAACCGTAATTTTTAATGTAATATGTATTTTATTTTATTTTATAACCGT